AGTTACTCATATCATTTGTTCAAATCTTTCATTTATTTTGCAAAACTTAGTAGAAAATTTTAGAATTGGCTGTTTTTATATTTTATTTATACATACATTAGTATAATGTTTTTAATTTTTGAGTATTTGGACCAAAATTGTAATACCGCATGTGAAGCTGTTTTGGAAATGCAACAAAATTTACAAACAAGAAATAGATTAGTAATACAAAATTTATATTGTATTGAATTTTTCGTTTTTGTAATTTGTTACATATTTATTACGCAGTACTTAACTATTATTTAAGCAAAGTATACGTTTAAAAATATTAATTTTTGAAAACATTAAATTTTAAAATTCTCCAAAATTCGATTTCAAACAAATTTCGTACAAATATACGATTAACGATGAAGATCTGGAGTCGTTGTTTTAAACTGATACTGAAACTAACGCGAATAAATACTTAAATTACAGCCTAAGCTTTTTCTCCTACTTTAGGAAGGAAAAAATGGTACTTATTAAGTCTTTTTTAATTCATACATATATTGCCCAATAGCATTTTTTTTTAGCAGCCGCTGAGGCTGTAAGGTTAGAGGTGCGTACTTCCACACCGAAAGACCTGCGTTCGATCCCTGACCCGAGCAATATCTTAACTCTCAACTCCTCCGCATATTTTTTAAACCAGTCCATAGCCATAGTTACCCTTTACATCCAAATTTTTTGAATAAGCTATATAAATCTTCGCGATTTAGAGTCAAAGCGAAGTGAAATAATTTTATATATGAAATTCAAAAATAATTTATTTTTAAATTAATTTATATTTTTTATAAAAAAAACTGTGGGCGAAGTGAGTGTCGCACGGTGATATATATATACTCTTTAAAGAGAGCACCGTGCTTACCATTTTCATTGAACAAACTCATTGCCAAGCGCGGCTAAATTTTTCTATTTATTCACACTTTAACGGCCATAAAATGGCTTTGTAGATTTAAAACTCTTCTTCTTCTTATTTATAAATATAATCATTTGTGGGCTTGGGCTGAGTCCATGAGAAGCTCTCTCTCCTCGGTAAAGCTTTGCGAATTTATACCTAAAGCACAAAGAACTAGAGCTTTGATGTAGGAAGGTAATTCTCATTAAAAATGCTAAAATTTTTTTAATGGATTTCAATCCAGTATCATCCGTCAACCTTGCCTTTTTAAAGATTTGAATCGCTTCCTCTGATCTTAGCTCAAATTTCTTTCTCGTGCACCATTTTGCTTACTCATTTCCCGGAACACCTCTCACGTACGGGGTCCATTTAGGTGAGGGGCTAGTATTGATTGCCAGTGACTCCGCAATGTTGAGAAACAGTAGCTGCCTATAATATTTCACATCTATGCAATTCGATATAAGAAAGGGTTTTCGTCGTTAGAGAGCTCTTTTCAGCCAGCCGGCTAACCAAGAAATAAAAGTGCATCTAAGAGCCCGAATTTCTCTTTTTATTTTATATGGAATGGCCAGAGCTTAAATACTTTCCGATTCAGCTTCGTGTCGTTTTCTTTTCTACCGAAAATGGTTACCTTCTCGTTGCCCTCTTCGCACAAATACTGTGGAAAGGGCAATGCTATAACAAGAAGCATGTAAATCCAATTTATACAAAATGCATAATAATTCAACAAATTTTTTAAAAATTTTTATTTTTATCTTTAGTTTTTTTGAGTATGCTGGGACTAAACAAACTACCGTTGATTTTTAAAAAAGGTTTTTTGCCGAGTTTGTTGCCCATTTTTTCCATATAACGTATGAGCAAAATCTATTTTCATATGAAAGAACTTGCCAACACCATTAGCAAAAAGTTTAAAATTTTGATGAAAATTTGTTGAACTATGACAAATTTTTGTATAATATGTGAAAATTGTATCTACATAGTTTTTGTTATAGAATATGCTATATTTTTTCAAAAAGGTAATTAATTTAAAGTAAAGAAAAGTTAAGCCGCCAATACTGATCTTGATGATGGGGCGCTATTCAAGTGTGACACGGGATCACAAATTTTTGTTTATTTTTTTTTATGTCCCTATCCAATTTCTATGTAAAATTGCTCGTTCTATAGATACGTTTTCGGGATATTTTGAATTCACGGTGAATTCAGGAAGAAATTATGATTAATCGCAAATATCTCATGATCCAATTGAACAATCTGAAATGTGGCAGATAAACCATTAACACATGACTTTTCGATAGGCCTGATAGTTTCTGAGAAATTAATAAATCTTTCGAGATTTTTTTTTTGTGGTGAAAAAAAGAAAAAATTCAAACTTTAACAGGAAAAGAATTCAAAAAATTACATATTTTGTTCTGTTAGAAAAAAAATCAAGCTACTTATGAAGAAAATCAATGGATAAATAAAAAAGGAATTAGTATTCAAATAAAAATGCGCAAGGATTTTTTATATGAAATAAGAGCACGAAAGAGTCCACATGGCGTATGAGTAACAATGCAATATCGATAGCTTATCCACAGAAAAAAATTTACTTGATTGTGCGAATCAGCGAGCAATTCCACATAGGAATTGGATAGTGGTATCCAGTGTACATTTTTGCAGTAAACTAGTGTAATTTGTCTTTACATGTCAGAAGGTTACTCATACGCCCCGACGCATAGGGGCGCAAATGCGAAAGTTACCATTCAAAAAGGCCTACAGCCAATAATTCTTAACGGATTTTCATTTTTTTTAGTTGAAAGGTAATTTTGAAGAGGAAGATATGTATATAGGGCAACTTTTTAAATTTTTATTTATTTATATGTATTCAATTTTTTAGTGCAAAGTGCATTAAAAGTAGCAATTTTGAAGAAAATCGATTCTCCTTTCTTGTTACATAAACTTTTACTTTACTTTTTTAAAAATTTTGTACATATAAACTGATAAGGTAAATATTGAATTAGTACACCTTAGAAGAAAATACGCAATACGTAATCTCGAGTTTTAAAATTATAAACAAAAGGTCTAGGATCAAGCCGATGCTTAATCGTATTTCTAAATACCTTCGAAAATATATTAATAATGTGGGTGTTAGACATTCATAAAAAATAAAAAATACTTCATAAATCGAAAGTTTGTTTCAAAAGCCCACTTCATAGAGCTCTTGAAATCTATTTTATTTTTTGATGAATGGGGCCATTAGAGTTTTTGGAGGGAGTAACAACACAAAATACTATAAAGGCGCAGTGAAACACGCCGGGTATTCGCTAGTAAACAAAAACAAATTTATTATCTTTCAATTACAAAACAACAACAAATTGAAAACCCGTATTACAAAACTTATATGTCCAACTTTGCAGGCTGTAGACCTTTTTGAATAGCAAATTTCGCTTTTGCGCCACTGTGCGACGCATGTGCGACTTTTGGCTTAAAAGACTGCCGTTTGTCAGGGCGTATGAGTTACCTGTTGGCGTGTAAATAGAAATTGCCTAGTGTTCGAAGCGCAGTGTAATTACGCAGTCCAATTTTAACTTTTCACCACTGACACTGAAACATCTACTGCGATTTTTTCTTTTATTTGACTTCCGTTGCTTTCGGGCTTTTTTATGTATGCTACGGACCATGTGAACCCGTTTCTATAAATCTTTTTTATCGGAAATGTGATACCCCAGGGGTGGTCCCATACTAATTTGATTTAGTTCCGATCGTAAAGAAACAAACAGTACTTCTAAATTTTTTATATGTGCTATATATTTTTTCTTTATTTTGGTATTCAAAATTCAATGTAATTATAAAACACTTCTGCTTCTTGTTTTATTTATTTTCCAATCAATATTTGGCTAACTAAATGAAGATATTTTTACAAATCATTCAGGAAATCTTTTAATGTACATTCTTGTTCATTTTAACAGTCATAAAATTATTTTCTCATATGTGCGAGTATTTGTCATTTTCTTTGTAGCGAAATTATAAGTAGAAGTAACCCCAAAAACATTTACTACGAAAGAAATATTTGCAAATTCTTTTCAACGACTAAAAAAGTGAATGCAGTCTAACTTAGCAAATGCCGCTACAAATTATTGCTAAATAATTGTGAGTTTAGCTAAAAAAATTAATAAATTTTTTACTGCCTATGCTACGGCTTCACCCATTCACCTTCATTACATTGTAAATTATGAACATGCTTTTGAACCAAACGCCTAACCTGGAATGAACAGCTATTTCACTAGTCTGCAAAAACTCTACAAAAACCACCATGCTGATTAATGTAAATGCATATAAAATATATTTATAACAATTCTGCAACGTTTCGTCAAGCTGAAAGAAAAATGTATTCATGTAGTATCCGATTTCAGTGCATTTAACTTTATCGAACTCTGCATTATGACTTCATTCATACACTTGCCAAACGTAGTAGTCGTGCCATTATTTACGCCATCCCACTACACCCAAATCGCCACTTCGCAAACAATCGAGTCGAATTATAAAATTGCAACTGTTGCACTGTTACTTATGTACGTCCTTGTCACATGCTACACGCCACATGCCCCACGCCACACGACACAGCCCGAAGTCACGTTACGCTGCTGAGCGCCTGCCTCGTACCACAATCACCAGCTGCTCTGCTGCGCCTCACTTACATTCGTCACTCATTCGCCTTTGCAGCAGCGCAACAATTGCAACTCGTTTAATGCGCAATAATTGTGTTGAACTCGTTTTTCCTTTTTTTTTTTTGTACGTACTTTTAAGCCTCTGCTTTGCGCGCAAAGTCAATTGTCCAAATGCTTTTATTGTTGTTGTTGTTGTTAAATAAATTTTAAGCCATAGCTCACTAATACACATTTTTTAAAACGAATTTTCTTTCTCTTTCTTTTTTTCGGTTACTTTAACGCAAATAAATCAAACAACAACAAACCACAACACAAAAAATAATTTTATGTAAAAACACAAAAAATATATAAAAAATTACAAAAAAAAATTGCAAACTGATATCCGCGCTCGCCGCTTTTAAACTCACACATCGTTAAAAAAAAAAAATAAACAAAACTAAAAACAGGACATTACGAGCAGCGATATACCGCCGGTGCCGCCAACGCCTGTGCACAGCGCCACCGCCGCCACCGACGACGTCATCATCAGCAACAGCAACAGTTGCCAGCGGCAAGGTCAACTGCAGCTACAGAAGCAACCGCTATTGCTACAGAGCCATAAGCAGCCTCCTCCGGCTCAGCTGTTGCTTATTGAACAAAACCAACAGCAGCCGCTACCGAAACAAAAACAGCCACAATCGTGCAAAGCAACATATTACAACAACACCCCCAATACCACCAACACCACCACCACCACCACACCCACCACTCCCGCCGCACCCACTAAAACAGTCCCACACTCACCATTTTACCCAACGAAATCCATTAGCACACCCCTCTCCGACGGCTATAACCCACTTGCCATCGTCGCCACCGCCACTACACCCACAACTACAGCTAATTCACCAGCAGCTACAGCGCCACTATCATTGCGCCAACAAAATCAAAAAGTTATCACAAGATCACAATCATCTAAAGTTATACAGGAGTTGCAGCAGTTACATAGCAACAACAACAACAACAATATAAACCACTATCCATATCCTCAGCAGCAGCAACAGCAGCAACAGCAACAGCAACAGCAACACTCATCTATCCATCAACTAAAGCAACAGCAATCGTTGCCCGCCACCCTACATCCACCGCCAACGGTCAACGGTAACGGTAACGGTCATCATCCGCCGCCTAGCAAGTCCGTTTCGATACTCGTCTACAAAACATTGAATACGGTCTTCAAGAGCAGTCGTAAGATCATTGTGCGCGTTTGTGAGGTAGCTAGCGCAAAGAAGTCTTTCACCATGTTCAAATTCAATAAGGCAGCTGCGCAAAATCGCGCTGAAAATCGTGCGAACGCCTGCACCGGGCACGATCAGTTCGTGCGACCGCCAGTGCCCGAGAAGTGAGTGTGAAAGTGTAAACATTGTTTTCAAGTGTATATTTCTGGCGTTCAAAATGGACAGTGGCGGGAAGTGCAAATTGGCGATAGATGTGAAAGCATAGAGGCCAAGTGAAAACTTTTGAGTTGATGCGAAAACTATATTTGTTCTTCTGAAAGATTGCTATGGACTAGGCAAGGTGAGTGATGTGAAAGCTTCTGAAAGTCGTTCAAAAGCTCTCTGAAAAATATGAAAACGATTTTCAGACACCTTTTTTTCAGCACTATTTTGTCTTGGATCAGGCGTCCATCGCACAAATTCTATGCTGAATACAAATTTCTTACGCTATACTTTTCGTAGTTGTAATAAGTATCGGCTACATACCAACCTAGGCCACTGACAATCAGATAAAGCTTTTAAACGATTCAACTTTACAGTACCCGATTGGTAGAACAAAAATTTTTGTTTCCGGTATAATCAACCTTAGATAGATGATAGTTGATTAAAGTACTGCGGCCAGTAGGTCTCTTGTGCCCTCAGCTGCTCACAACACCTCAACTAGCCCTAGTGACTCTAGAAATTTCTGAATAAATCCGTCTATAAATATTCTATGCTGCTCTCCCTTCTACGTGCAATTGCCTCACATTGAAGAAGCAGGTGTAATTGAGTGTCTTTGGCAGCGTCACAAATGCGTCTTAGGTCACTAGACCAGAATTAGAATCCTCTCCAGGCTGTATCCTGAGAGCAGGCTGACGTTATCTCTATTTAATATATTAATTGGTTCTATTGAACTGTCGACACCAAGACCAACTGAGAATACAAAATTTTTTCGGTTCTACAAATCTAGTTAAAGATCCTTCGCGCGTCAACTGGTCTGCGGCCTCCTTGTATTCGATCCCACAGTAGTTAGTATTTAGATAGTGCCCGGATGGCTGCTTCGCTATCTGAAAATATAACTAAAAAGTCGGTATTTTAATTATTTTCTATGTCTATTTCGGCGCAGGTTAATATGCTATTTAATACTTTAACCTGCCCAAGGGAGTTAAAAGTTTGATACCCGGTTTGTAAGTTCCTGATCTGTCCTTCATGCTGGACGCATCTTTATAGCAATGAACGTATTTGAATCAACGGCAGGGTACCCGTTTGCCCAATTTTCACGATTAGGAATTTTCACTAGGAATTTTCTGCCACAGCAGTTCCATGCCTTACGAACACATAATTATGTAACATATATGCCTAAAAATATGCAACATCAGCATAAAACCAGTACTTCGCTTAACGCATTCAAGTAGCGCAACTTTCTAATGCATATTTTAATATTTCGTATTGCATACTTTTAGGGGCAGCAGCTGCTACTCGATGCATATTTTTAGTCCTTTGTCTTACATTGTCTAAGAAGCTTTCACATACTGAACCTAAACGATCTTCCCACCACTGTCCATATGCAAAGTTATAACGTAAACAACTTCAAATTTTTTTTTTAATTACTAAACCTCCTTCTTAAAATGCTTACCTTTTGACAACGTAATAAAACCTCGAAATTATCTTAAAACAACAACAAACTGTATTACACTCAACAACTCAACCGCGCGCTATCACAAATAAATTACAATCGCAGGAAAGTTAAACACATAATGAAGAAATTACACAAACAAAATGGACTGAAACGTTCTAATTCAGCGATCGAATTTGACGTATCCGCACTGACAGCCGCCAATCGTCGACACATCTACAGCAGGTAAGTCCTTCTAGCTGACAAATGTACAATGTATGTGTATGTACCCAAAAAAAAATCTGTTTAATTTATTTTTTCACACACCAAATGTGCAACAATTTGATTTTTATTTATTTCCATACAAATAAGTGATGATTGAAAAAAATATCACTGCCTCCAATTAATAGCGCATACTTTTTGATAAAAAAAAAAAAAAAATATGTTAACCCATACTTAAATTACCTAACATTTCTTTCAACAAACCACAATTCGAAAAATTTCTGTTTGAAATTGATCTTCTAATTTTATTATATGTATTTTCTTTATTCTGTTCTTTTTTCTTACTTTCTTTCTTTCTTTCGTTTCATTTCATTCGATGCAAAACAAACAAACAAACCAAAAAAAAAAAACGTTTTCTTGCAGCAATCGATCAGCCAGTTCGGAACAAGATAATTCAGATCAATCCGAGCACTCGGAAAAATCACCATTGGTTAGCGCGAGGTTAGACAATCTAGCTAGGCTATTTTTTAGCAAATCGATGCCAGCGGAAACCGGAAGTAGAGATACCATAGATTCTGTGCTAACAACAAGGTTGCCACTACTTTCTTTTTACTTTCTACCTTTACTTTTACAAAAACGAAAACCATCTTGATTTCAACAACAAGCAATTGATGCAGTTCTTTCCAAAATAACCCACTGTATTTGCTATGTAAAAGCTTTCGATAACTTACATATATTTCTTTATTAAAAAATTGAGCAGTAAAAACGTATTGCTAAAGTATTGCTAAAACTAACTAAAAAATAAGTTAAACGAAACTTTTGATTGTCTATATTTCTTAAAGTTTTTAACTAAATATCTATATACTAATTAAATGTTAACACAGATGAGGTGAAGGTTTTTCTTGTCATATATATATATGTAAATGTCTATGAAAATAACTTGATGTATTATACTTATTGGTATTTTAGGTGACTTTTCATAGCATTTAACACCTAAACGAATACAAAAAAAAAACATAGTTTTACATCGTTTCTTTTTTGTTTTATTGCACACCTTGCACTCATCATGAACTAATTAATAGCGCTGCTACTTATTTTTGCTTCCATAGATGTCTGCATAAGTACGTGTGATATATTTTGTATGTGTATGGCACTTGCATGTTTTTTTTTCAAGTTATGCTTTCAATGTCCTTTCGCACAAACGCTTTTTATACATTTTTCTCATTTACTTGCCTATACACTATATAACTATCCATGTATGTACATAACTATTCGACGCGTATATGACATATGATACACATACGTACATAGTATACATATATTTATGGAAATAAGATAATTCCATTTACAAATTGAATATCGGCAAACAAAATGCAAGTTTTAATACTTTTGCGATGAATAAATAAAATTATTTGGGGTAAGTAATTTGAAAATAATCTAAGCACCTAAATACATACATAAGTATGTATGGACGAGAATATGTCTGTGTTCGTATGGAACAGTAGCTTATGTCGGAAGGCTGGATTTAGTATAATGCGGCATTCGCAGCATATGAGTGCAAGTGGCTCACTGGCGCCGAGAAATAGTTCGGATACTAGCAAGTCAATATTCTTATGTCGTTTAAGGAATAAAGGGAATGCCGCATTATACTAAAGCCAGCTTCCCGACATACATAAGCTACTATTCCATACGAACACAGATGTAATGGGAAAGTTTGAAAAGTTAGTTCAAAAACTTAAGCGAATTAAAAGCAGCTAGGTTACCTCTTTGTTGTATAAACAACTGCTATATACATATGTGTATGTATACATACGTACGCATACTTAATATAAAACTTAGCACTCTTCAGCTTAATGTGAACGTAGCAGATGTCTTTTGTTTTATTTAGTATTTTAATAATAAATTACTTTATTCGAACGCAGAACATCGTACACCTGGCTAAAACAACTGTCTTCCTGTTCATCTGAATACGAAGAATGCGTTTAAATGAACTCTTGAGTGTCAAAATTGTTGGTCTTCTAAAAAGTGGACATAAATTTTAGCTGAACATATTTTTGCTAATTAAAAGCGGCGATTTAACTTTTGACCATTTACAAACTAGGTCTTAATGTTTGGTCTTATAAAAACGGCACATAACTTGTTGGTGATTTTAATACTGGATATAAATTTTTGGTTGTATAAAAACTGGGCATCATTTTTGATCATAAAGATACTGGACATAATTTCTTGATCATATAGAAACTGGACATTATTTATAGCTCATTTAAAAACTAGACAAATTTTTCGTCGTTTAAAAAGTATACCTACATTTTTGGTCATTTAAAATCTGGACATAACTTTTTAGGCCTATAAACATCGGACAAAATTTCTTGGTTTATTACTAGTTTCTATATGTATGTACATTTTTGAACATACAAATACCGCACATCAAAAGTATATACATATATACTGTACACTAATTTTTGATCGAATAAAATCAGGACATTGGTCATTTAAAATATTGACTTACTTTTTTAAGCAGAAAAAAATTTATTTTAAAAGTTTACATGCATTTTTGGTAATTTAAAAACTGGACATAATTTTTTGATCATTACTAAAAACTAGACAAAATGTTTGGCTTAATAAAAACTGAGCATAAGTATGAAATTGACGATGACAATTCGATTTTTTTATTTCCCCTTGAAAGGTTGTTTGTTCTCCGGAATAATTATTTTCTTGTCATTTGTTACGTTTCCCACCCCTTTGCATTTTGGGTGACTTGTCACGCTCGGTACTTATCGTATCAACGTCATGGAAGAGAGCGCCATCTTTGATGCCTGTCCTACATATATACTACACATTGCTTACATTCGTTCTATCGTGCCGAGGGTAGCTAGCTAGCGCTGTCGGCCCACTTTCTCGTTCTGTTAATTCTTGCCAGAGATAGTTTTACAGCGCAGATCTGGCAACTGTGTTTGAACTCACTTGAAATTTCCTTCCTGTATCTCGAAAGACTAATTGAGATATCTGGTAGCGAGGTCTAGGCATTGTTCTGTTTGTTTTTATCAATAAATCTTCTAAATTTAAATTTAAAAAAAAAATAAGCAAAAAACGGGAAAAAATATATTAAAAAGGGACTTAAATAAAACCACTTTCCGCAAATTAAATGATATTGAAAAAAAAAATCTTTTTAGAACAATAAAAAAATTAGAATAAAATTTAATTAAAAAATAATAATTAAGTAGAAAATATCAAATGAGTTCCTAAAAATTAAATGAAGCTAAAAAGATATTTAAAAAAACTTAAAATGAAATAAAGCTAAAATAACTCCGAAAATTAAATGAAATTAAAAAATATATATATTTTTCTTTTTAGAATAGTAAAATCTAACAATTGAAAGAAAATTTATTTAAAAACAGGAAAAAAATCAAATAAGTTTCTAGAAAATAAATGATGTCAAAAAATTAAATGAATAAAAAAAAATCTTATTAAAACAATAAAATCTAAGAGCTTTATTCATTAAAAATAAAATAGGTTTAAAGAGCTTTATAAAGTGGCTTTTTCGTACAATTTTTCGACTCATAAAGCAGTTAAAGTCTTCTTTATTTTTCATGAATTTGGGTGAAAGTAAAAAAGAAAATATTAGATCTAAAAAAATAAAGTAAGTTTCCAAACATTAAAAAAATCTAAAAAATATATATGTATGTAATTTCTTCTTTTTAAAACAACAAAATCTAGCAATTAAAAGAAAATTAAAAAGAAATTAAGTAAAAAAGAAAGAAATATTTTCCTAAAATTTAAATGAAATTAAAAAATAAATAAAAAATAAACCAAGTTTCTGAAAACTAAATGGAATTAAAAAAATGTTTTTTGTCTTTTTAGAACAAAAAAAAAAGTAAAAGACAATTAAACGAAAAATAAATAAATTAAACAAGCAAAAATGAAATTAAAATATAACAAAAGTTAAATGAAGTTAAAAATATATTAGAAAACATAAAATGAAATAAAAGTTAAAAGCTTTCCGAAAATTAAATGAAATTAAAAGAAATATATATCTTTTTCTTTTTTGGAATAAAATCTAAAAACTAAAAGAAAATTAAATAAAAAAATAAAATAAGTTCCAAAAATTTAAATTTAATTAAAAAATAAATATGAAAACAAAATCAAAATTTACATTAAATAAACAAAAACCTTTGTTTTTACAAATAAAATCTTAAAATACAAGAAAATTAAAAAGGACAGAAAATTGCATTACATAACTTCCAGAAATGGAATTAAATTAAAAGAATATACATATATTTCTCTCGAATGGGCTCACTCGGCCATGGCGACTGTTGGCGAACCGATGACGGCTATATGTACATACATCTCCGTTTGGAGCATGCTCTAGTGCTTTCTGTCAAAAGAGCTTTACATAATGAAAGTTGGCAAGGGAGCTTTTTACTGTAAGATTTTCGTGCCAGACTGTCTGATAAAAGTCTAACAAAATACATGCAATTATCTTAGCCATAATTGCACTGTTAAAGCATAAATAGACGGCAGTGTTGATCCGGATCAACTCGGGAATTAACTGCAGTTGATCCGGATTAAGTCCGAGTTAATCCGGATCAACGCTGCCGTTTGTTTAAGCTTTTAGGGTGGTTTATATTATCTAGAACATCTATATAGTATCTATCAACTTAATTCGAATAGAAGACCATTGAATTGAATGAAAAATGAAGTGAAATTAAACTTAGATATGTCTACTCAACTGAATAGGCGCGCTGAATATATTAGTCGTAAGCTCAACCCTAAAATAATTTTATTTTGAACTTTGAGCTCACAACCTCGCAAACGATCTCATATACATAACTACATCTATATAAATTAACTTGTTAAGCACGTCATATACATACACACATACAACCTAAGCTGCTTATGTCATCATCGCTTGGCAATCATAAGGATACCATGCTTAACTACAAAAACAATTAATCACTCTATTCTAAATCCCCGGCTACGTATAGACTCTCAAATAGTAAATATGTATGTATAAGTTAAGCAAGGTGCGCCTGAATATAATTTGCACATCCATATGTATAAGCATACGTTATGTACGTAACCTTGTGCTCAGCTGATTAAGTTAAGTGACACTTTGACCAGTTTTGGCCATATTGCTTTTGTGTGTTAAAAGTTTTTAATTTTTTATAAAAGTTCAGCATATTACCTAGCCAGCACATCATAAATACACATTTCAAACTTCGTACGAAATTTATAAAAATTTAACAAAATTTAACAATTACACCCAAAAATTTTAAACTTTTTTAATAAAAGTTTTTAGCAAAATTTTAGGTATTCAGTTTTATAGCCCATTAAATTCTAGTAGATTCAAGTGCAAAATTCAAGACGCTAGAAAATCGCGTTGATTTTTAATAATTTTTTTGGCTGGCGGTGCTGAGCATTTTCTCCCGTATGTATAAAGTATGCACGACAACTACTTTTATATGGAGGAATTGGCCTAGCACCGTTAGCAACAAAAAATAAAATTATAAAAATCAACGCGAATTTCTAGCCTACTAAAATTAAATGGGCTATAAAACTGCATACCCAAAACTTTTCTAAAATTTTTAATA